TTTTGTGGGGGGGGGGGGGTTTTCAGGTGTTGGGGTTTTAAGCTTAGACTTTGGTGGGGTGGAAAACAGATGGTAGAGAATGCGGTAGGGTATAAAAATTTCGGAAATTTTATTTTATGTCTTGGGCTATGAGAGGGGCGAAAAGTGTTGGAAAAAATTAATGCATTAACGCAACTTTTTTAGGACAAAAATGTAGAAATAAGGGGGTGTTTTGGGGGGGAGATGGGAGAGGGATTTAAAAGAGGGTTATAGGAATTTCCTTTTTTGGGATTTAAAAGGGAGTTGAAAGGCAGGTTAAAGGGGGTTTAAATGGGCTGGTTTTCCCAGAATGGGCCCGGGACATGATGGGGTTTGATTTAATGTTTTATGGGTATGTTGGGGGGCAATTTTAACATTATTTGGGCAGAGTTTTTTTCAAGTACAAATTTGTTTTTAAATTTTTTTATCGACTTTTAATATTATGTGTATATATATATGCATGTGTTTTTTTTGTGCGTGTTTGGGTTTGTATTATGTTTTGTTTTGTATGTTTGTAGGTGTATGTTTTATATATTATGTATATGTATGTTTGGTTTTCTTTTTTGTATATACCTTTAAGGGTTTTTTTCCCTGAAATTTTCAATGAATTCAAAAATATTTTCTATGCGATTAAAGAAATTTTGGGTACAATGTGTAAAAGCAAAAAGGCTTTTAAAATTTTTTAGGTTTTTTGACAAAGTATTTTTTTAAAAAACAATTTTATTTTTGGGCCAATAGAACATTTGTGTGTTTTGATATATTTTTGATTGTTTTTTTCTTTTTTAATTTGTCTAATGGTTGGGGAAAAAACTATGTATGTATTTAAGGTTTTTAGAAACCCCTTTAATTGTAAAAAATGGATAAATTAAACCCTGGGTTTTTTGAGTCCCTTTTTAAAAAAGGGCGGTTTTAAGTGATTGTGTTCCATTTGACAACAAACTTTATATACTTATTTATATGTATGACCTTTTGGTAAATTGAAGTTTGATTTTGAAGGTGAAGAAAGGGGTTTTTTCCTTTTTTTTTTCTTTTTTTCTCTCCCTTAAAGGGTTTAAAAAAAGGTTGTATCATGAAAACCAACAAATAGGTTAGGGGGAAAGGGGGTAAAATTTTCCCTGTTGATTAGACATTTTTAAAACAGATAAATTTTAGGCTTAGGTTAGGGTAAAAAATTTTTTTTGATAATTGTGGAAAGGTTTTTTTTTTTTTTTTTGATTCAAACTGCTTTATTATACTTGTTTTTTTTTTATTTTTAGGGGTAAAATTAAGGGCAAAGGTGATTAATTTGGGAAGAGTTAAAATAGGTTTTTCTTTTTTTTACGAAAATTAATTATCCACATGTAGCTAGTATAGGAAAAATTTTAAAACTTGGTTTTTTGATTTTATTTGTTGGTAATGGTGGTCATATTTGTTATATTTTTTTGTTTTTTCGTTAATGTTTCAATATCTAAAGTAAATTTTTTTTCTTTATTTTTCTATATTTAAACTTTAAAGGTTTTTTTCCCTTTTTTTTATTGATATTGTTGGTTTTTTAAAAAAATAAAAAAAAAAAAATAGTATGATTGGGGGTGGGGGGGGGGGTTTTTCGGGGGGTTGTGGGGGTTATGGGGGGGTTTTTTGGGGGTACGGCTTTAAACATTTTTTTATTACAAGTACTTAATTAATGTGTTAATTTCTGTTGGAAAGGGTAATTGAGATTGTTTTTTAAATTTTATTGCTTGCAAACCGTTTTCTTTTGTTTTTTATAAAAAACAATTTTTCCCCCTATCAGGAGTGTGTAGGGACTAAGTAAAATTATTGTACTTGAAATGATTTGATTGTGTTGGGTTTAATTTGTTTTAAAAGGGTTTTTCTCACTCACGTGTTTGGGTTGTACTGGAAAATCATGTGAAAAAGGAAAATTTTTTAAAAGGGAATGTAAAAGAGCATTTGTTTTGATTATAGGACGTAGTTTTTTTTTTGTATTATCTACTCTGTTGCTTTTTTTTTACTATTGTAAAAATGTGTTTTAAAAAAAATATAAAAAAAAAATTTTATAAAACCATTGTGCAATCAACCGAGCGCTAAAAAAATTTTTTTTTATTTCTAATTTGGGAAATTTTTTTAAGGTAAAAATATATAAATTTTGAGGTTTTTATATAGATGCTGGATTGCTTGTTTTAAAAATTTTTAGTTTAACTGTTATGCACCCCCCATACCTATCCTTTTGGGCAATTGTAAAAGATTAAAAGGTACATAAGGGTCCAGGGACAAGTTAAATGGGAAAGTTCCCTGTTAATTTTTGGGCTTTCCCATTGTAAAATTTTATTTCTTTGACAGTCTTTTGAGGGGAATATGTTTTTGGTTCCCCAAGGGGTGTGGGTTTTTGTGTAGGGAAAAGTGTTAAAAAAGATGGCTTTTTACTATTTGAATTTTCAGTAGGAACTTAAAAGTATGGGCTGTTTCCCAAGGGAAAAACCCTTTTCCCTTTTAAAATTTTTTGGGTACCAGACTTTTTTTTTCTGATAAAAGCTGCAAATTTTGTGTCAAAAACTGGAAGACTTGATATAAATCAGCTCTCCTGGCACTGTACCATTCACTCGTTTACCCTTATCTCGCCTATGGAATTTGTGCATGGAAATCAACAATATTCAATTACCGAAGACCTCTAATAACCCAGCAAAAGGCAGCAATCAGAATAAAAAATTCCCACTCCTGCCAGCATACTCCACCAATTTTCGAAAGTCTGAATCTGCTCACCATTAAGAACATCCATACTTATGTGCCTACTACATACACAGAACAATACACGCAAAGATAAACCCTCCACTCGAACTTTTCCTCGCCAACCTAAACAGGACACATGACCACAACACAAGACACAGATCTCTTTGATATACCTCGTGTCCATATCACACTGTGTAAAAAAAACTTTATGCACATAAAGGGCCCCAAAATGTGGAACTCATTACCAGAAGATGCTAAAGTAACCAGGTCTGAAAATCAGTTCGACTCTTCTTAAAAGCTACTTAATCACCCTAAACCAAATGCTAAATACTCAGTACACACACTTAGGTACTCCCACATCATAATTTCAACAATCACTTTGAACCTTGTATCCATTGTTGACTGGAATATAATTTAATCATTTTCACAAAAAGCAGTTTTTGAATATATGAATATATCTTTTGTCTTGTGGAAATTAGATTCACTTACAATTAATAATCTACTGTAAAACTGATATAATTAATATTCTGCTGTACAACTATGACTTAATTCTTAGTGTTACGTAGTCTGTAAGCCAATAATGTTAAGTTGGCCCATAATGCCTAGGCATAATAGGCTCTTTGCATTGCAACCCATTATTGTAAATATAAAATCTCATGTGTAGTACATTGTGTATTTGCAAAGACATTAAATAAATAATAAATAGTATTAAACACGTTACTCCAGCCCCCATATCGTCCCGCATCAAATGGTCTAAACTTGTAGAGCGAACCTGACTAATCGACTGAAAGGTGCGCCAGCTCTAAATCTACCGCTGGTGGAGTAAACCTGTACAGGTTACAAACTGCTTAAAGAGTAGTCCTGAACTACCAGAAATTCTAATCTGGTTGTTTCGTAGGATATCATTAGGTTTTCCTAAATTGCACAATGTAGAAAAGGTTCATGATAAAGCCACCCTAATAGACATCCATAGGAATCGGTATTGGTAGTGTCCAACAGAGACCGGGATTCCATAATTACCGAGGGATGTCCTTGAGTAAGTTCCTTTGATGCCGGTGAGAAAGGGGAGGCTTAGCCAGTAGGAAGTTCCTCGACCCTGCGGCATCAGGGAACCACCAAGTGGTTCCCTGATGCTGCAGGGGGATTAGCCCCCTCTCAGGTTCCTTGATGCTGCAAGGAGGAGGGTTTAGCTCCTCAGGAAGATTTCCTTTATGCTGGAAGGGTTCCTTAATACCCCACAAAAGGTTCCTCAGGGTGGTTCCTTAATGCTGCTGGGGTTTTGCCCTTGGGGAGTTTTGTTGCTGCAAGGGGGTTAGTTCCTAGAGACTCCTGATGCTGTAGGGGGGTTAACCCATCAAGGAGGTTCCTCAGTGCTTTAGGTTCTTTTTTTTGGGGAGGTTCCTTGATACCTAGGGGATCTTCCAGGGATGTTCCTTGATCAAATTAACTTGCCTTACTTTTCCCATGACATGGCTACAACATAATGAATTCCCATTCACCATGTATGATTCCCATGGGTTTGGTGCTTTGGAAATATAATCTCTTGCAGTTTGGGGATGTTGGAAGGTGCTTGTTGGTGAAAGGCTTTAATCCAGAGAGCTCCCGTTCCCGGGATCAAAATTAACTCTCCCCATTCCCCTTTGTCTGCAGTCCAGTCCCTGGACACATTATATACCTCTAATCTTTTGACTACAGTCCACAGGATGGTTACGGGGTGCATAATAAAGATGTTAAACGAACTCCTGTTACCACAGGTGCTGTATGACCCGTATGGCATTAGAATCTTAACCCTCTCCCCACTTTTAGCATAAATAATTGCTAGTCTTTGTGGTACCCCTTCACCCAGTCTTGTACGCCATGCATTCATAAGCGGCCTCCTTGCCCGCCGTACTTAAAATAGTACCCAAGTTATTGCTCTTGCACTCGGTGGATTAATTTGTCGTTTAGTTTAATATCTTTATTCACCTCTTGCCCATCCTGTGGGAAGTGGTAAATTTTGAAATTGTGTAATGGCAAGTAAATTTTTTCAGGTATATACAAATAGTTAGATTATCATACACAGCAGTATATTTATTATTATTTGGACATGTGTAGAGAAACTTACAACCCAAAAAAAAAGTTAGTGACTTCCATTGAGGTCCATTTTAATAATCCCTCCCAGCTAGTCCCTGGGTGTCATTAACCTGTATTATGGGTTCTAGTTAATAAGCGTTATGTACCCCTAACTTGCTATTAAGATGTCTGTTCTTTTCATACTTTGTTCCCTTTTTGTACAGCAGTGGCAAGATGGGCAGGATAAAAGGCTGGGAAGGCATAGTCACCATTCTGGGGCTTTTTTTGCTGTATACAGTCTCACTGACTGAGACATCAATCACTGATGCAGACTGGCACATGGGCATGTCTGAGTTACCCTCCATACAAGACCTGGTGAGTTAATGTTCATTATGAGTGGCTTGAATAAAAATGGGGTCCCTTTAGTGAATGCATGGATATTTATAGCTTGGAGAGAGAGAGAGAGAGAGAGAGAGAGAGAGGAAAAAAAAAAAAAAAAAAAAAAAAAAAAAATTATGCTAGACCCAGGACATTTTTATTAAAACTTGTTGCCTTAGTTTATTTAGGTTCGGGTACAGTCACATAAATTATCATAATGTGTGTACCCCTCAAGGGAGGTTCCATGCTGCTGGTGAGAGGCTCTTAATCTAGGGAATTGGATCTGTGCTCCAGTTCCCTGAATTAAGCCTGAATACCTTTCCCCCCCACATGCACTGTATAATCCTATGGGTTTAGCGCTCTCCCATAATAGTAACGTGTAGATTACATAGGATAACTCAAGTCAGTGACTCTTCTCCACTATAGTCCTTGTAAAATCTTTTTCTACAAACTTAAAAGTTAAAATGGCAAAGTAACTGTAATTCTAAATTTCTAACTTTTCCCACCATAGATGGATGCTGTATCTGATCGTGAATTTAATACTCTAGCTGATCTTGATGACTTCATGAAGACCCTTGAAGATCTAGCAGACTTGTACTTTGAAAAAGCCTTTACTGCAAAAACTCGCAAGTTCAAGAGAGGTATGGAGCAGCATGTGAATTTTTTATTTCCAGGAACGGTTAATAAGCTGTCCAACTTGTGCAGCATTTTTAAGATTTTACCTTTTATTATTCCAGTACATTGCTAAAATTTTAGTTAGCCTAAAACTGAGTTAAGACTTTGATTAAAAAGTGGTATACTAGAGAAATTTCAGAATTTCAGAGCACCCTTCAAAGTTCATTTACTCTGGCAAGTCTTCATTTTATGGACTAAACCTACCCTCCCTTTCAAATAAACTAATTTAATGGGCAAACCAAACCTTTTCACCTTCCGTTTTTACTTCATGGTACGTAATTGTGCCAGTACGTAACTCCATGGCCAGTGCATTTTCTCTGCCCTCCACCCACCCCCTCCAGCTTTCCTTCCCCAATACTAGATAAAATTTGGGATTTTTAACCCGGGGGATGGCCAGCCAAGATAACCCAAGAAAGTCATTGCATTTTAAAAAAGGAAGGTCACTTAAATTTACTAACCACTCTCCCCCCCCCCCATCCTTGTATTCCATCCTTACTTGTCCTTGTTCCTCCCCCACCTTGCCAAACATCTGGTCATAAATTGCCAGTCAGTGTCATTGAGGACTTTCTTATACTATTGGTGCTTAATGTTCAAACTACCTTGTCATTTGTGGATGGAAATACACCTAACTTTGCAAGCTTCACTATCATAACTGAGAATTTTTTGCCTAAAACCATCACAAAATTTGTTTGACAGGGTTATATTTTTAGTTCAGGGAGACCCCCATGTGCTGGTGACTGGCTTGTGTTGAAAGGAAGTGTAAGCTGTCCTCTCAAGGCTTTTAATTGATGCTGGTTATTGTAGCTTGGTATGATAACATTTGTGTGAGTGTTTCAATATGTATTTTTGTGTGGTTTATTAGCTACATTGGCATAAGCACTGGGTAACCTACATGGTCAAAGTGCTCTGTAAATTCTACAAATGGCCAGGCTGTGGTTCATGTTGTATTGCTAGCAGTAACAGCCTGATTGATCAGGCCTTGAGCCACAGTGAGGCATGGTCACGAACCAGACTGGGGGCATTGCCCCCCCCCCAAACACACTCCAGGTAATTCAGCTACATAAATATTAATATTGATCGCTAATACAGATTCATTTTTCAGACCTCTACACTTCAATGGAGGTTACCAATGCTCTGTTATATTCCTTCAACTTCTACGACCCCAATGAATTTAATGCTTCATCCCTGGAGGGTGTTAGTGGACATCACTTCCTAAAAGCTCATGAACAATATTTCTGGGTTTTGAGTAATAAATGGTAAGTAGTTTTTTATGGTCTCTGATGGAGTTGGGGGAAACTGTACTATTTCCCTATGAAACTTGCAGAATATTTTCTAAGCAATGTCTTTTTGAGGTAATGCAACTTACGTCTAACTGGTGTTAACTCAGTGCTGGTAATTTATATCTTCATATCTTGACTGTAAATGCCTATTGATAATGGTGATAGGAGCCTAGATTCCTGATTTGCATAGGATTTGTATAGTGTTTTTTTTCATATGGGTTGCCAGCAAGGCCAGGCATTTTGGAAAATCTGAATGACTATAATGAGTAGGAAGTCATCCACCCATAACTTTCCCTCTAAAAAATTTTTCATATATTGTTTCAAACTGTTTGAATTGCTCTCTCATAAAAAGGAATTAAATTTGGGTCATGGCAATGCTAAAGTTTTTCTGGGTTTTTAAAGGGCACATTCCCCTGGGATAAAATTTAATGTTGAATTTTTCGACAGGAGGGGAGGGCAGTCTATCTTTGGAGCTGACCAGCCAGATTTACAAAAAAAGAGCTTTGAAATTTTCAGCTTGGTCACAGTTATGACAACTTGATAAAATTGTAGTAAGTTTTTTTCTTTATTTTTCTAAAAGGTTGTTCACCTTTTCCACCCTATGGAGAGGGAGCAGGGACAGGGGGGGGTCGCCCCACATTTACTAAAAACAACAGACAAGCCCCACTCCCAAAAGGGGGGCAGTAAAGAAACACAAAGAATAAGACCAATACCTAACATCCCTACAAAATCTTTAAAAAGGGGTCCTAAGAAGAAAGACCCCACCCATCAGAACCCATCAGTTACACAACCCAGGAAACGGGGTTTAAAAAGGGGTGCCCTGTCTCTAACTATTGGATCACTACGAAAGGGTCCAAATTTGCACTGAAGACAAAAAGAATGCAGAGAAATATATACAACTTTCAAAACCCCTTTCGACAAGTGTGACCACGGGTAAACGCAAAAAAATGCGTGCTAAAGGAATAACAGAAAAGTCGCGATGGATCTATAATTTCCCACAAACAGACAGAGTAGTCAACGGAAAAGTCCGGGGGCAGCTAGGTAAAATTCTGTTCCACAAGGACAACTCGCCCCCTCTTTTCCTCACCCATACCCGACATAGAAAAGGGAGTCGCCACAGACCGTACTCCTTTGCAGAGACACCCAATCTGCATGACAGTGTTTTCCCATTGCAGACACTGCAAGGCTCCAGGGGGGCAAAACCCAAAAATTTTTAGTGGGCTGCAAAAAACAAATGAAGTTAAAACGATGAAAAATTTCTTTACCAGATAGGGAAACATGGGGAAATTAAATTTTCATCAAGTAAAAAAACAAATTTGGCCACAAAATAGAGCGAAACCCCCAACGCCAAGACCTGGGAGGACATGTCGGGGGTCTCCCCTTTCAAGGCCAAACTTTGTACAATGCATCTGCAAAAAAAGACGGGAGGGATAATAAAACCCTTTTCAAAACTAGGGGCCAACCCCATGATGACATCTTCAGGTCATTTGTTCTACTACGGGAAATTTTTGGAACACTAACACCCCTTTTAAGGCGGGGAAATTGCCGACCTAAAAAATGACAGAAAATTTCAGGGCGCGCATAACGGAGATAAAACGCCTCAATTACGGGGACGCTTGAGTTCCTAAACCTGTTTTCCCTGGAACGAAAGGAGGGGAGATACATGATTATATACCCTGAAAATCCTAGGGGACTATACCGAACTTGCACACAAAATCACTCCAATAAAGCAAAAGACGGGCAGCGATGCACCATCCCCCCAATGAAAAGCAGGGGTTCACTAGCACGTTAAGGACCATACAAGAGTTCGGGGGTAGACTTTTCAATCCTCCCAGCACACATGGGGGGGTTACCAAACAGACCCCTGGCTTCAAGCTGGCACTGGAAAAGCCCCAAAAAGTCAGTTCCTGATCACCGGGCTGGGGCTCGTACGTTGGTTTGCGTGCAGCCCAGCAACACCCTTTTTTATCGGCTCGATCCCCCAAAGGGGGCCCTGGCCCAAGCCCGGGGCCCCAGGGGGGGCGTTGACCCCCGGGAACTCTCTCCAGGTCCCATCTGGAAAGGCCTAAAATTGAAACTAATTTGGGGTTTTTTCAGAAAAGTGCTTTAGCCTATCTCCTTAAGATGTTTTTCTCTTACAAATTTGGTAGTTTTGAATGTGTGCGATCTATATAAACTTTGGCCATTTGTTTTAAGGGGGGCACCAAGGAGAGGGGGGGGGAAGGAAACCGAAGGGCTTAAACCCCCAAAAAAAAAATAAAATAACTTTGCTTAAAAAAAAATTACTCCCCCTTTCCAACCAATGCCCCCCCTTTAGGTCCCTTTTCATTTGTTAGTCAAACGTTTTTTATGGGAATCTGAAATCTTGGATGGCAGGGTTTTTTCTTTTTAAACCCTTTTAAAAGTAATTATATAGGAAAGTTTAAAATACTTTAGGTGCAGGTTTCGTTCCCTTTTAAAAGTAGTAAATTATGTAACTTTAACCTACAAGGGAAAATAATAGTAAGTTTCATTTCTGGAATAGATGGTGACTGTATATGGGGTTGAAGCTTGGGGCCTCCTTGGCTGTCTTCCCCCCCCCCCCCTGAAAAAAAAAAATTTTGTCGAGCCCCCCACCCTTTCCTCTAAGCAGATTGGTACTCCAAACCCCTTCAGCATAATAACATGATTTAGAGCTTTTTTTATAAACTATGCCTTTCCCAATAGACATTGTGGGGCTTTTCATTGACTAGGGCACTAGTTTAGTAAAATTGTTTTTAATCCCAACAAATTAATCAGGAGATTAAAATTAAAACACGGAAAATTTTTGGGGAAAAGGGCACTCAAATTTTACTAAAACTAATAAAAATCAGGGAAAATTTTTTCACACTTTTCAAATTCTACTTAAAAACTTAAGCATGGCTGACTACTAATTCTAATATTTTTTGCTTTTGGCTGCAGTACCTAGATTTGTTATGGCCTTGGTTTGCCTCAAGCAGGAGTTACTTGGGCACTAGTTTGAAGATGGCGCTGGGTTGTCACTCAGGAATAACCTCCTGGGGGCAGTGCATACAAAATTTTTTTGGCCAGTGGCCAAAAGTTACCCGTTATGGTGAACGAGCCCCGTTTGCCAATATTGAAGCCGGGGAAGAAAGGTTTTGAATTTTCAAAAGGGCCCTTTAGGCATTCTCTAGAAATATTTTTCTTTTAAATTAGAATTTTTGGCTTTAGCCAAAACTTGCAAATTCGTTAAAAATTCTGCCAAAACTTAATTTTTTAAACGTAAATCTAAAATTACAGTAAAATATTTATTTATAAAAACCTTTTAAAAGGTTTTTGGGAACTTTTAAAACTTGGTTCAGGTATACTTGTCCCATCCCCGTATTATTTTTTTTTATTTTATTCACATTGGCCACTCCCCCAAGGTGCTTAAAAGAAAAATTTGCCTTTACTCCATACTCTTGCCAAATGGACTTACATAGTTATAAAAAATGCTCTAGTGCCCCCCCTTCAGAGTAAGACTGTATATAATGGACCCTTGGTTATCGGCATTAGATATCGGCCATTTTGGGTTTTTTCCCGCTTTTTTTTTTCCGAAATTTTGTTATCAGCTGTATTTTTACGCATCCATTCCCCCGCCTTCGTGAATCAGTCCCGGCTGTGTCCTGGGTGAGGGGGGAAGCCTCCTGCATTTTATCCAAACATTTCACTAAATCCATTGTTTTTTGGGTTTTTTTTGGATTGAGGGAACTGTGAAATAAGAAAAATGAGCCTAAAGAAAGTGCCCATAAATTTTTTTGGTAAAAGGAGAAACAAAAAGCATTCAAGGAGGCAGGGTGGGCTGGTTGTCACGTGGCATGCGTGTGGTGCGCCCGCTCCCCCGGGGGGCGGCCCCCAGGGGGTCCAGGCAGTAAAAGCAGGGGAAACCCCCCCTTGTCTTCCATACACCAACTATTTTGCATACACAAAAAACACCCAAAAACGCATTTTTTTGGGGGTCTGGAATGGTTTAATTTTAAATTTCCCATAAAACTTTTGGAAATATTTTTTTTTTGGTTTTTAGGCAACCTTCTGAATGGATTAAAGGCCGATAACCGGGGTCCATCATTTTATGTATGTATTTCAACAACGGGCCGTACCCCCCACTGAGGAGGGGGGCCCAAAAGTTTTTTTTTTACTTTTATAATTATACGGGGGGGTTTACAACCTCGTTTCCAGCATTTTTGGTTACCTTTTTTTAAGACCGTGTGGTATTAGTGTTTTTGGATCTCCGAACGGGGCTTTAAAACATGGGGTTTTAAAAGAGATGGAGACGGTGGTTTTTGATTTGATGTGCAGTTGAGTGAGCAAAGAAAAACACTTAAAAGGGGAAAATTAGGGAATGGGGGGGGGGGGGGATGGGGGGCCCGGCGGGCTGGCAGCAAAGCTCCGCTTCACATTTGGGGCCCCGGTTCGTTTCCCTGGCAGGGGGAGAGTTCGATAGTTTCCTATCCGTTGTCCTTTTCCCCCTACGGGACTCGTGGGTGTTAGGTGGGGGGTTGGATCCGGGGGGGGCAAGATGAAGACCCCAATGGGAAAAGGACAATCCTCAAAGATGCATGACTTTTTTGGGGTTTTCCTGGGGGCTAACCCCCCGGGGGTTTAAAAATTTCCAAACAAAATATATCTTAAAAAACCGTTAGCCCGACTGTCCCAGAGCTGGGGAAAACAGTGCCTCACAATGAAGGGAAGGGGTGGTGTTCATTTGTTGTAGGCATGCCTCTAAAGACAGTGACTGGTGAATGATTAATTTTTTTTCTTTGGTCACCCTGTCTGTGAGAAAATGCAATGTGTTAGGGCCGAAGAAAACACCCTTATTCACCATACACTTTGAAAAAGCACACTTAAAAATACACCTACTTTCAGTGGATATAAGCGCAATGTTTTTAAAGTAGTCCCGTATGGCACATTCTTTCCTGAGGGAATTTTAAACCCTTTAGTGATGCATTATTTTGCAT